TTTTCCTTAAACAATGGGGACATTGTTTATTTTAAGCGTAGGCGACGTTATTTTGGTTTTCATTGTTATTGTGTGTTATAAAAAAAATTAAAAAAATAAAAAAAAATAAAAAAAAAAGAAAAGCAAAAAAAAGGAAAAAATATATATAAAAAAAATGTTTGAATTGTTTTGTTTAAGTTTTTATCTTTGTTCGGGACGAACAAAGAATTAAGTGTGGGGGAGTTGTTAGTGTTATTTTTGTTATGTTTTTATTAATGTTTTTAATTATTATTTTTATTTTAGTAATTTTGTGGGATTTTAGGTACTTTTTAGTTTTTTTAGTTATTTGTAATATTTAAGTATTTGTGTGGATTTTGTATATTTTTTTTGTATTTTTCGAGTATTTGTAAAATAAAGAAACGGTCGAAAATCTCGGAAGAGCAAGATTTTAGAAAGTTATTGGGCATGATCACATTAATGGAAAGAGGAGCTCGTTAGCTACACACAGGAAAAAGCGGAACTCGATTTCGAGATCGGATGAGTTCGTACGGGACCGAAGCGTAAAATCGAGCGAGTTGCCGACACCTTGGAAGTTAAAAATCTTTAGATAATTTTAGTCTGGGTGAAATTTGTATTGGCATACATCATTCAATAGAGGGGTTTGTTAGCAACGCGTAGAAAAAAACAGAACTCAATTTCGAGTTCGGACGAGCCCAAAACGAGCCCGAGAAGTAAAGCCGCCCGAGACGTGCGCGAATGCGCGCGGAAAAACCACTTTCGGTTTTTGTCCGAAAATTCCAACTTTTCTCTCAAATTTCCTATCTTCTTTCACCTTTTCTTACATTTTTTCTTTCCTATTTTTTCCATCTTCTTCCCCATTTTTCCTATCATCTTTTCCACATTTTTCTTTTCTTATATTACAAGTTTTCTATTTTTTTTCCTATAAATGCTCTCTTCTTTTTCACAACTTCACTTTTCTTCTCTTTTCTATGTAAATATTATTTCGAGTTAGTGTTCTTAGTGTTCTTGATATTCTTCAAGTTTGATCCTGCATGCAAGCTTGGTTTTAATCTTGTAAGTTGTTTATTTTCATTTTCCTAAAAGTTCTAAGCGATATATTGACGTCAAGTTTTAATCGTAATCGTAAGTTATCGTTCGAAAGTTTTTATGAGTAAAACGATAGCCTGGATTATTCTTATTATTTGTGTCAATAAAATCATGACGAACTAAACCCTTCGTTAGGGATAGGGAAATGATTGTGTCGGTTCGATGATGATGACGAATTGTTGATTGTTCTTATTATTTCGAGTTATATTTATTTTTATGATTTAAGTAGAACTAAACATTCTTTTAAATCTACTTAATCGACTTTTAACCCGAAAATGGCGAAGTTGATTGATCACGGCTCGAAATAAATAAGTTTACACGTAACTGTATTGCTTATATGTTAAGTGGTATGCGAATACATTGATTTATGTTTATATTCTTACTCGTAACTGAATGGAATGAACCTCTAAATTAGTGTGTTTATCGAATCATTTAACCGAATGATTAACAATTTGAAGTTATCATTAAAATTGATACAATTATTTCCCGATTCCCTAACACTTTCCTCATCTTTATTCTTTTTACCTATTTACCATTTTTATTATTTTACTGTTGTTTATTCACTGTTCTTTTCATTTTATGTTTGTTAAATTAAATTAAGAATTTTAGTTAATTATAAAACCACATCAAAATGGATTAGAATGTTTAGGTTTATTTTCTCATTTTTGTATTTAGACAATTAAATAAAAAAAAAAAAAAACTCCGAACGACCTTCCTTGAGATCGACCCGAGGTCGGGTAACTCAGTTACCAAATACCCACAAAAATTTTACGAACAATTTTAAAGTATTTTGTATATCTGTTTTTTTTTATTTACGTTGTGCGGTATTTTGGTGGGAGCTGTTGACGTCAATTTTCGATTGTAGTGATAAAGTGCAACGTGTTGTTTTAGAATGTGCAACGTGTTGTTTTATGAAGTGCATCGTGCTGATATATAAAGTGCACTACTTTATATGATCACATATAAATTATGCTTTCTTGAAAACAATATTTTAATAGATGTAATTGTACATCTAATTAACTTAAATAGTAATTTATTATAAAAGTAATTATTATTATTATTATTATTATTATTATCTTATGTGCAAATTCAACATGAAATTGAACCGAAATATTTGAGTTATTTAGTTGGTTTATCAAATTTACCTAAATAATCAAACTCTTATTATTTACATTATGTTAATATGTCTATGCAATATTTTATATTATTTTTTTATTCTAATTCAACTTGAAATTGAACCGAAATAATTGAGTTATTTTGTTGGTTAATCAAATTAACCTAAATAATGAAACTAATTTATTATTTATATTATAAATACCTAAAATGCAAATAAGAAAATAAAATATTTATAAGAAAATAAAATTTTTTTATATAGTTCGATCGGTTTAGTTATATTAAACAATAAAGTCGACATCACACCAAGATAACCAAAATTTTAAAAGTAAAACATACAGTTCGAACCCAAAACTTAGTGTGTCCGTTTCAACCATATAGTGCAATCTGATAGTCACTAATGTGCAATTCGTGTAACATTAATCTGCACTCGAAGAGCAGTTATTTGTATAAAAATAAATTTAGTATTTTAATATTTTTATGTAATATTTTGTATTATTTGTGATTGAAAAAATATGATATATAGATATGTATAAAAGTATAAAAATATATATATAAATAATTCCTTTTATATATTTTATTAGGGAAAACAGCCGTGCACAACACGGCCAAGCCCACGACGTATTTTGAGATTCATGTTATGAAGTTATTTCGTTATAATGATGTATATTTTTTAATTTGTATTTTGTTACCATTTTCTATGGTTAAATGAAATACATTATTTATAGAATGGTTATATCAAAGCAAACTCCAATTTGAAGAGCATATATGATTTTTTATATTTACAATTGAATATTTAACAACTTGAATTTAAAACCAAACGAATGAACGGATAACGGAAGAACAAAATACTAATATTATTTTTGTGAACTCAACAATAAAGGGTTGAAAGCAAGATAATAACATGGTCTAAGCTTGGTAGAATACTGTGACACAAGCTCTAAAAAGAAACATAAGCCCACAAAATATAATAATATGGATACCACTCTAATTTAAAACTTAATTAAAGATGATTAAAAGATACAGGATGTGACTCTTAAGGTTGGTTGTTTAAGATTACTTTAGTTGGATAGTCGGACGATATAAACATGAAAGAGTAGAAGATGAGCGTCAACAGTATAACACTAAAGATGAGCGTCAACAATATAACAATCTAAACATCAAATGTAAACGTTACTCCAGAAACTTGGGTACATGCATACACAATCAAAATATCTTCATTTCCTAATCCTAAAATTCTTTTCTTTCAAAGTGTTTTTCTAGCAAATTCTGATCCGCATTCATTTCATGGAATATCCATTTCTCTCTCTGATATGCTCCCTCGAGTCGCCAATTCGAGGCTAGGCAATTAATGTTAGTGGGTTCTTGGATTTTCAATCTAGATGAGAGCCAAGAATTGAAAAGGGGGGAAAATATAAACTTTGAAGCTAAAAACACATGAAAGAAAAATCTAAAAAATGTTTTCTACAACCTTAGTAAATAGCGAAGGGGGAGAGATATATAGAGTTTGAGCATATGAAAATCTTAAAAAAGTATATTTATGTGGCCAACTTTAATAGATTGAAGCCAATACAATGTAGATTACATTTTTTTTTTTACAAAAAGAAATATAAGTGAATACCAATGACTAAAGTATAGTTGTCAATCTCAAAGAGATACCAAGACAACTAAATCATACAATTAATTAATAAAAGTAAAATAATAAATAAAAATATCTGCAACCCTTTCCAATGCAAATTATATAAGAAAAACAATAGTCACATTCAACTATCATTTCACTTTGCTTTATACTTCAACCCAAATGCTGAAATATAATTATAGAAAATTTTATTTATGTAATCACCAAAATGTTGTACCTAAACAAAAAGAAAAGAAATTTCATTTGGGTTGTGTTTATCAACACACTCATTCCCATAATCTTTACATTTTTAATAATCAAAATTTAATTAATTATATTTATAAAAATAAACTTCATTATATTTTTAGAGAGGTACAAATTACTTGGAACACTATTTATGAGTTCTTTGCAAAAGTAAATAGATAATTATAGTAATATTCATCAATGACAGAGAGATAGTAAAATGGAGTATAGACTAACTTAAGTGTCAAGACATTTCTTTATTAATTAGATATAAAATTGAAGCGTAAATCATGTATGGAGATAATGGAGACTTGAGAAAAATGCATTGCCAGTGGAATATCCAACAAAAGCTGAAATATGTTGTTACAATTTATAAACAAAAGAAAACATGGAATTATGTGGATTACAAGGGCAAAAAAGGAATCACGGTGTTATAATTCTAGGTGTCACAAGGAGAAAGAAGCTGGAAATAATAAAATATTCTACAGTGTTATGAGTGCTTTATATTATGAGTGCTTTATATATTAAATAAGAGAAAGAGACTATAGATATAGATATAAATTACAATTTTGACTATGGGCTAAATCGAACTATATCAAAACTCTGAAATTTTAGTTAAACTATAAATTTGACCCTAAGAACTAAATTGTAATTTAAATAAAAATAATGATATTGCAATTTAAACCCTTGGGACTTATCAGAAATCCCAAATCTGCTCGATGCTCGTCTCTTCCCAAAATCTTCGCTAGCCACCGCCCGACTCTTCTCAGAAAATTGTTGATTTGTATTCATCTAATTTTTGTCGTTATCTTTCTGTTCTCGCCGGAATTATCTGAGGTCAACAGCGGTGTCGGTGAGTTTCTCCGTGGGTGGCCGAATTTCGGCCCCCAGAGGTAGAGGACGGCGTTGATTGGAGCAGTAACTGGAGTTTTGGAGGCAGCGGGCGGAGGAGAAGACGCGGTTTCCGACGGCGGCTTTGATTGGAGAGGGTAAGGGACAAGATGCGATTTTCTGGCGGGTGGAGTGGCTCCTGATGAGCGCCATGTGCGGCGATGGAGTTGCGGCCGCCGGAGAAGTCGGGGAATGGCGAAGCCGGGTTGGGTTGGATGGCGGTCGACGGTGTTATATGGTACTGTCTGTATTTTTGTCTGTGTGTGTGCAGGGAGAGAGGGCGGAGTTGGTGGAGGTTCGGCTGGAACTTCAGTCATGCTCGTCGCGGAGGGTGCCGGAGGCGGTCAGCGGGACAGTGAAGACGGCGATTGTCGGTGGTTGGATGAGTGCGGCGGCGGTAGGTGGCTGTGTAGGTGGTGGCCGGCGGAGGGCACGGGCCGTGCCTTTGTGTGTGTACAGTGTATGTATAAATCGTGTGTGTGTGTGTGTGTGCGGGTCGTGTGTTTGTGTGTGTGCGCCGGTCGCCGGTGTAGTTTGTGTGAGTGTGTGTATGTGTGCAGGTCGCCGGTGTAGTATGTGTGAGTGTGTGCGCAGGGTAGTGTGTGTAAGTGTGTGTGTGTGTGTGAAAGAGAGAGAGAGAGAGAGAATGTGGGGTGTCACGTGTGTGCGTGTGCGTGTGATAGAGCTGGTAGGTGGTGGTGGGTTGTATAGTGGGGACAAAATGTCTAAAATATCCTTAATGAAGATGTGATATTTACTTTTTATTTAACCATTAGATCATTCGATCTAATGGCTCCGATTTATTCTTATTTCTTTCATTTAGAACCATTCTCACCGTAGCGCGACCCTATATATATATATATAATCTCATACCATTAATATGCACTGGAAATATTTGATTTGAATAACTTACACTCGGAAGTTAAAATTTCTTTATTTAGAAATAATTAGCTTACTCTCGGAAGCTAATATTGCTTTGATTATTTATAAAATACTGGGGTATTACACTGGGAAGCGGATAATTCAAAATAAATGGTTTATGATCGAGCTTTTATAAGATTGATTAAGGAGTGTTGGGCTCTAAGGACGAACTCTGGGAGTTCGGTTAATATTTCACAAGATAGTGTGCCAATCGATATGTAGAAATCAAGTTCTAAGTTAGATATAAGGGAACTATTTATACTTGGCATATATATATATATATGTATTATATATATATATATATATATATATGATGTGGTTCAAATGAGAACCAAGTCTTAGCGTGAGAACCGCTAATTTTAGTTACATGAAGTGCTATGATTGATTGTGTTTTAGCGCTATTTTAACCAAGATGTATTTTATTAAAAATAGCAATACAATTTATATTAGTATTTGTGAAAATGATAGCATCATCTAATATTAAAAATAGCGTCATACACAATTAAAAATAACATCAAATATGGTTCTCACGGTTCTCACACCAAGACTAGTTTTTATTTGAACCAGCCCCCTATATATATATATAGACGCGCAAAATTCAAAAGATGCTGAATAAAGATACATAGGAAAGTACAAAAGATGGTCACAACATGGGTTCCACATAATTACTAAGAATACAACATTAAAGTAGAGGGGCTTTGATCGACTTCGGATCCTGCTCGGGCTGGTCAACCTGCTCGTCCACCTCTTCTTCGGCAGCTTCAGCATCCTCTTCGACCTCAACCTCTTCTTCCCCTTCCCCGCGTTCGAGCTTCTACAGGGCAGTCTCCAAGGCGGGCTCCCACCAAGGATGCTTAAGTGGTAGCACAGAATTCACGGACCTACCTTCCGGATCAAGAAGGTTAGTCCTTAAAGTAGCTTCATTAACCTTCTCCAAATCTCCACTCGCCCGAGCTCATTCAAAACCCCAGTTTGCACCGAGAAACAATATTGTCTATCAGCAGGGACAAGATTAGAGAGGAAGGGCATGGAGTCGTGATAAAGAGCAAGCAACTCTTTATGGTAAGTGTTGAGGAACCGAGCTCCAGAAAGAGAGGTGAGGAAGCCCTCTCGAGTCTGATTCCGAGCAGCGGCTTCCTTAGTAGTTGCCTCTAGTGCGAGAAGTTCATGGTCTGCTCATAGAGTATCGACCTCTTTTTGATGGAGAGCAGCTTGAAAAGATTTGGAGGTCTCCAAGGACTTGTTCAGCTCGGTCAGACGAGCTATTTCAGTTTTTGCTGCAGTTCGGTCTGAAGAATCTCCGATGTAGAAGTCTCCACATCAAACGCCTTCTTCAGCTTATGATGCTCAGCAGATGAAGGAGCTTCACCCTCAATGGCCTCGTGGATGAGGCTGGCGAGACCCGAGCTAAACTATACATGTAAAGAATAAGAATTATTAACTAAGGGGGAAAAGCTCGACATATATATATATAAAGAGAGAGAGAGAGAGAGAGAGAGAGAGAGAG